AGGCCAGGCTTGAAGAAACCTGGGATAACTGAAGGTGTCCCTGTCCATGGCAGAGGATAGGAGAGAACAGGGACAGGTTTGAAATGCAGGGAGGGCAGGGTTAGGTGGGATATTGGGATGGAATTCCTCCCTGTGAGGTGGCACAGGGTGCTCCCGCTCCTTGTTTGTCCCACAGAGTTTTCGAAGGAGAGACGCACAGAGGGAGAGCTGGAACCCCAAAAGGATAGGAGAGAACAGGGACAGGTTTGAAATGCAGGGAGGGCAGGGCTAGGTGAGATATTGGGATGGAATTCCTCCCTGTGAGGGTGTAAGGCCCTTGCACAGGGTGCTCCAGGTTCCTTGTTTGTCCCACAGGGTTTTCTGAAGGAGAGAGGCACAGAGGGAGAGCTAGAACCCCAGAGGGATAGGAGGGGATAGGGATGGGTTTGAAATGCAGGGAGGGCAGGGTTAGGTGGGATATTGGGATGGAATTCCTCCCTGTGAGGGTGGCACAGGGTGCTCCAGTTCCTTGTTTGTCCCACAGGGTTTTCTGCAGGGAGAGGCACAGAGGGAGAGCTGGAACCCCGGGGGGATAGGAGGGGATAGGGATGGGTTTGAAATGCAGGGAGGGTGGGGTTAGGTGGGATATTGGGGTGCAATTCCTCAAGGCCCTTGCACAGGGTGCCCAGAGAAGCTGTGGATCCCTGGAAGTGTCCAAGGCCAGGCTTGGAGAAACCTGGGATAACTGAAGGTGTCCCTGTCCATGGCAGAGGATAGGAGAGAACAGGAACAGGTTTGAAATGCAGGGAGGGCAGGGCTAGGTGAGATATTGGGGTGGAATTCCTCCCTGTGAGGGTGTAAGGCCCTTGCACAGGGTGCTCTCACTCTTTGTCCCACAGGGAGAGAGGCACAGAGGGAGAGCTGAAACCCCAAAGGGATAGAGGAGAACAGGGACAGGTTTGAAATGCAGGGAGGGTGGGGTTAGGTGGGATATTGGGGTGGAATTCCTCCCTGTGAGGGTGTAAGGCCCTTGCACAGGGTGCTCCCACTCCTTGTCCCACAATGAGAGAGGCACAGAGAGAGAGCTGAAACCCCAAAGGGACAGGAGGGGATAGGGTTGGGTTTGAAATGCAGGGAGGGTGGGGTTAGGTGGGATATTGGGGTGGAATTCCTCCCTGTGAGGTGGCACAGGGTGCTCCCACTCCTTGTCCCGCAGGGAGAGAGCTGGAACCCCAGAGGGATAGAGGAGAACAGGGACAGGTTTGAAATGCAGGGAGGGTGGGGCTAGGTGGGATATTGGGATGGAATTCCTCCCTGTGAAGGTGAAGGAGCTCTGGCACAGGGTGCCCAGAGAAGCTGGGGCTGCTCCATCCCTGGAAGCATCCAAGGCCAGGCTTATCCCAGGACACTTCTCCCAGGAGAAACCTGGGATAATTTAAGGTGTCCCTGACCATGGCAGGGGCTGGAATAACTTCAAGGTTATGAACTTGGCTGGATGAACTTTAAGGTCTCTTTCAACCCAAA